TCTGTAATTTTGCAGAACATTTTAGAAATTTTTGTTGAAAAAAGTTTCTGGTACTTACTGGTTCTTTATTGTTGAATTCGTAGCTGCCCCAGCTGGCATCTACAAATCTTAAAGAGTTCTTTATAAACTCACTGACTAACTTATTGTGGTATTCGCAAAGTTTTCAGAAAGTATTCTTAATGTATTCCCATAGTACTCCACTTATGTCCCCTTTATTAAGTTGTCTGAGAGTTCGCCAAGAGTTTTTTTCTAGAATTTTAATCCATAAAGAGTTTTAAGAATATTCGTTTTAATCTCACGGTATTTACAAATGAAATTCAAATAAGAACCTATTTCATTAAGAAACATCTCTTCTCTTTTCGCTTTTCAATAACGTTATTTCATAATCTTTTGTTACACGTGCACTTATCTCTACATATTAAAAAGCGATAGTTATAGAACAAAGTATTGAAACGTGTGATTAGAATTATTATTAACACAAATAAATACCAAATTGAGATTGCGAAACAAATTTAATAATTATAGTAAGCCTTGGTATTTAGGACAAGCTTTGGAGCTGCAATATAAACATAATTTACTTTTGATAATAAAATACACAAAGCTTTCGTAGTATAGATTACTCGCACGCATATTCATCAGATCACTTCGTTTTCTTCATTCTTGGGTTAGAAACTCAGTATTGATCGATAACTTTTTTTTGTTTCGGTGGTCTTACAGGTAATTTTTTAGTTTTTCCCTTTACACTCTACTATTATGAAAACTTCTGCAAAGAATTATATTTAAATTAGATATTAAATACCTTAAATAGATTGATTATGATTATCCACTAAGCTTTAGCTTGTATTCTTGGATCTTATCCAAATTACTTAATTGTAACTTTTTTTCCATACAAAAAAGTAAGTTTTTTTCTATTTCAAGAGAAAAGGATGTCGTAAGTGAATTTTTCCCATAACTTTGTAATAAATCTTCAGTTCTTATTTTAAGTTTACCGATAACTTACTTTACGTCGTTTTAGGTGTAAAAAAATAGGCATTGTTTAAAAACAACAAAAAGTACAAAATATTATAGTGTTCGTATACAGTAAATGTAGGTGACGAATGTTTATTAACTTCGAAATCCTCGACAGTAGAGTGGTAAGTCGTGTCTATCTTATACGCAGGCTCTATCTAGCTTGGGGTCGATTCCACTTGGCTGCTAACTTTTTCTCTCATGTAAGTGTATATTGATAGCCGGAGTTGGAAATTTCTGAAGGGAAATCTATTTCTTAATAAAATAGGTTCTTATTTGAATTTTATTTGTTAATACCGTGAGATTGAAATGAATATTCTTAGAACTCTTTATGGATTGAAATTCTAGAAAAAAAACTCTTGGCAAACCCTCAAAAAACTCAAAAAAGGGGACATAAGTAAAGTACTATTGAAATACTTCAAGAATACCTTAGGAACACTTTACGAATACCACAATAAGTTAGTCAGTGAATTTATAAAGAACTGTTTAAGATTTGTGGATACCAGCTGGGTGCCACTACACTCCTACGAGTTTTCTTATTCACTGGCACAGCCCATGCATACTAGGGGAATATATTGATAACGTAAAGCATATATTTGTAGCCTTTATTTTTACAAGCCTAAGGTTGCATTTTAACTAGATCAGCTGGTCAATATTCATCCAATCTACAAATATTAAATTCCCTGGGAAAATAATTGTATCTTGCACTTTAATACAATTCCTCTACTAGACGCTTCATGTGCATAGAATATTATTTTATTATCAAACAATAGTACTTGTTATTAATGAGCTCTGTATGGTCCAATACTTCTTTCTAGTTAGTAAATTGAAGCCCACAAATTATTAATAATTTTATCAACGTTATTAAACGTTTTAACCCAACAAGTAATATTTTCCACATTATGAGGTTGTTCAGGTTTATTATAATTAAACGTTTGTTTGATTTTTTTAATCAAACTTCATACTAGTTTGATTTTCTACACTTGAGTTTTTATTCAATTTTTTTTTTATGTATTCATAAGTTTTTAAAGGAAGATGATAATACATTAAATTCTCTAATATTTGAAGATTAAAATTGACATCATTAGATATATAACGTTCATGGTCATTATAGTCGACTACAGCGTACTATCCATGAAAACATCAACGTCATCAGCGCTGTGACTTATAAGTATTTAAGACATTTAAGTATAGGAAGTAGGCTTAGCTAGCTTTGTAGAACCATTATTGAAAACTACAGCATCACTATCATCAATAATGCATGACTGCAACGGTAATGGCTTACGGAAATGTCGTTTTCTTTTTAGCATGAGTTCATCTAACATTTGATCAACGAAAAGTAAAAACTTTTAAACGTTAGTTCTCTCTTGTTCTCTTTCATGACTTCCTCAACAGAATTAGTGATTAGTTTTAATGTTTCACCAATAGCTCGGTCGAAATTTAATCTTCCATTTTGAAACAATTTATGTTTATTTCTTATAGCTTCTCTTGTCTGTTCCGTCTATTGAAAAACTTCTTTTTATTGGTAAGATTTAGGAGTATTGACAGTTTTCTGAATATCGAAAGAGTTAAATAAGTTAAAGATGTGTGTATTATAATTTTTGTGAAATAATTAAATCCTTACTCATATTTACCTTTCTTAATAAATATATCCTTGTCTAAACGATAAATCTATGATACAAGTCTTTTTAATTTTTTATGCATTAGTTTTTAACTCCTCCGAAAGCCATATATGTATTAACATGATCGCGATCAATGAGTTTTAAATATATATCATGCTGTCAAAATATGATCAACAGATTACCATTATCTTGAACTGAATGTTGCAGAACTTGTGCGTAAGATTGGCATGGATAGAAATGATCGACACTAGAACCCAATAAAATTAGTTGCACATTTAATTTTTACTGTATATTTCATACAAAATCTTTTCTGTCACTTATTATAGTACAATTATTCAAGCATATATTAGCAAAACTGACATTTTTGACTGATTATATGAATTAAAGACAACTTTCATTTTCTCATACACTGGTAACCTCAATAAATCAAGGTTTTGAAAGCAATACACATAAAATAAACATTTGGTATCTCAATGGTCACTTCACAGTTTCTAACAAAGAAAATATAGTTTACAGCTGTTTTCTTAACTTTAAGCTTAAGTTAAATTTTGTGATAAAATGCTAATACGTTACTTAGCTTGAACAACTGAAAAAATATACTTCTATTTATTTTTTTTGGCTTGTTATGCGCAAAGACTCCAAGGTATTTCCTTATTTTAAAATTTCTTCCAGATTTAACGAACAATAAACGTTATACATGTCAACTACCATTTAGTTTTAAAGGGACCCACTCGTTCTATAGTTTTATTGATAATCTCAGTCACTGATTTCCTAGTAGCTTCTTACAACTCCCCAGAAAAAAAGATATTCATTGAGTTCATTTTATACTTAAATCTCCATCCCACTAGTACCCTTGATAAGAACCCACACTTCCATACGATTTTCTATTTACTCCTTACGCCCCCCACCAATCCCTTGCTTAAAACAAGGAGAAATCGTTTAATCTTTCGTATATTTTCATTGGGTATTGATTTTAAATCTCCAATGACCACTAAACCCATACGCGACTATTTTGGATTATTGCATGCCCTCAACCTTTCCCTCTATCTAAAATATATTGGTACCCATACATGCACGCCAAATACGATTTATTATTGAAATTTAAGAATTTACTTGCATATCATTGTCTGGTACGTTGAAACTTTTACTATTCATGTTGAAATAAGTTATTGTTTATTATAGTAATTCTTTAAAATTTTGATGTTGAGTACTCATTATTAAAATTAGGTGTAAAATTATTTTTTAGACTACAAATGTTTTTATGAAAAATTTTCAGTAAACATTTCAGAATTTTTATTTTTGAAGATTTAAAAAAAATTTTTTTTTTTCTCTTCTTAATCATACCTTCTTAGATTTCTTACTAGTACAAAAAAATGAAACATTTAGTATTTATATGTTAAAAAATTATTAAATATGTATAAAAAGACTTTTAACTAAAGCAGAACTTCTCCTATCAGGGCTCTCTACGATTACCTTAAGTATTAACTGATGGGCGTTGGTGCACAGACCGCTTAGGAAATAAGCTTTTACTGGCACATATATTGACACGGTACCGTTGAGAAGGAATGACATTTTTTTAATATTCCTGACTTGTTCTTACAAGATATTTGGAGTTTTTGTCCGAATGCTTGGTTCTTGTTAGGTAATACTCTAATAACTGTAATTATTTATTCAAAGTATTGTAAATCGATGTTGGAGTATAATCAATTAAAACTAAAGTTATTGTAGAATAAACTAAAGTTAAAAATAATTGGTAGCCTTAACTCAAAAAATTAAAATGATCTGCTTCAAATCTAAGAAAATTTAACATTGATCAAGTTGCAACATAGATTACAACTAGGCAAGACCATTTTGAAAGACTATTATTCGGAGTAATTATTTATCAACGCAAGAATACTTTAAGTATCTCCTGTTGCATAACTTAACAATCTTTCTCAAATGACACAACGTTTGAAACTTCCTACTTGTATTCAAATATCTGGCTCACGTGTTAACTCAATTATTTTTATTTAACAACATAATATGATCTTTAAAAATACAATAACCACAAAGATATACTTGCATCTTAAACATATTTTTTAGTGTTACCAACTGAACAAATTCATTTGCCTTATAAGGTATTTAATTGCTCTTATATAAGTAGCTTCCAGAATACCTGACGTGAATGATCTACCTCAAAGTAAATTCTTATTTCTGTTGAGTTAACATAGTTTATACATAGTACGTATTTTCATATAATCATGAAAACTTCAGAACTTCAAAAGAAAAATTTTTTATAAGAAACAAGTAATAATAAATAACGTAGATCACATAGCAATTTTTTAGATCCACTGGATGATTTAACCATTTAAATTATACTTGTATTGACAGATACGGTCATCAACGGATGTTTGGAAGCTTAGGATGGGGCTTAGCAATGTTTTTTGTTGGAATTGCTTTGGATCATAGCACGGCTTTTCCCGATCATCCCTGTGGTCCAGATATAAAAGAGAGAAACTACACTATTTGTTTTACTATATTCAGTGTTTTGATGGGAGCTGCTCTCATAACAGCAACGCAAATAAATTTTAAATATGATCCTATTTCATTGCAGGTAGGTTTCAACTTTTTTTTAATTTATCGTAACCACAAAAATTATTTTAGTACTGTAATGTTTTTTGTAATGCTAAGGAAGAAGATAAACAATCAATCGAACGTACTAAAGAAGAGCAGTTACAAAGTCAACTATCACAACAATTAAACTTACCAAGCTTACAAGAGTCATCGGCATCTAGCACTAACGTAAGATTGAATCCACCAGAAGAAAAGGTTAGTTCTAAGTAAAAAATATAAGACCTCTATGTGTGTTTCAAATTTCAAGAAAAAAATGAAAGAAAAAAATTCTAATGCAGTCTACATTTATTAAATTAAAAAGAAGCTCAACATTATATAGAATAACGCACTAAGGCTGTAAGATAAAAGCTTTAAAATATGGAAGAATATTAATTTACTTTTTTTAATCAATGTGTTTACTGTAGTATAACATATATTCCTTACATTTTTACATAGCAATTTAATAATTCATCCAGATAGGTATAACCTTAATTTAAAAAATGTCATTTCTATGGTATATTTTGTAGTAAACTTGTAGGTATCAAATTCATGTTGTGTGCGAACTTATTTGATTAAATCATCATCATGTACCCACGGTGATTACAGCTACTAGATTAGTTATGCAAATTATATGACCAAATAACAATTTCTGATTTAAATCTTTTCTTGACAGCCAAAAATGATTGCCAGTGGAAAGATGTTGAGCTGCAACTGCAAATGCATTAGTTAGGATTATTATTCTAGGCAGGACTTTCACTAACAGTGTTCCTGCTGTGTACGGATCAAATTGCTGCTTTCTTAAGTAGGGCTTTTATTTGTCAAGTGTCATAGTAGTTGCTAATTACACTAATGTATTATATTTTTAAGCCATTTATCATTCCTATGGCTAGGTTAGATGGATATTGCAACATGTTATCAGATGCCCTTATCTATTTGTTTTTAATTGTTCTACTGTAGTAGGCATAAAAGAAGTCTTGTATTTATCACAGATGATTAAGAATTGACAAGATCTTACATTATCAGGGTATAATAATTACTCAATTTTAATGCTTAGAAAACCCTTTTTCATAACTTTTACTGCCTACTAAATTAAAAAATCTTTTTTTGTGATTGTTACTTGCTTAGAAGTACGGCTTATTAGTTCAGTGATATTTCTGTATAACTTATTATTTACCATCGAGAATTTATGATAATAAATAAAAACTGTTCTATTCATGTGTTTCCTATGGCCAGAAATTTTCCAAGCGCTATGCCTTTTACTTTGCAGCAATCTGTATTTTTACATTTAGATACGATTACCTGGATTGGGATCTACTATATCTTACCACATAAGCAAATTATAAATTTTAACTAGTCAAGCAGTTTAAATCTGCAAGGTTTCCAAAGACAAAAGTAGTACAGCATTTCTTCATTAACATGGAGGGTGAAAAACATCTTTAATAATAAGCATTTCATTTAAGAAAAATGTATTTTAAACTTTTCTCACTATTTTATTCACTGGTACATACTAAATGACTGAAATCAGGATTTGTGCCAAAATCATCAGGAAAATACCAAAACTTTTTTTTCATGTTACTAGTGTATGAAACAAGGTTTCGTTAAATAACGAAAAGTAACCTTAGATTTGTGTTTTAGTTTAGTAGAATCCACTAAGTGGTGTCGAAGTTAAATCAAATCCATCAGCAATCCAAGTTAGTAAGTATGTTCATAATATTATCAAGAAGCATGTCGTTAACCATAGTCGTTCACTGGTAGTGCGATGAAAACAAAGCTGTTAGCCGTGTAGCTGGGTATCTCGACTACTGAGAAAACTCTGACATCCTGCAATGGGTAAGCGACTTGGGCTAATTTACACTCTGGATCGTGGAGACCACCAAGTGTTTATTAAATAAAAGCGTTATAAATGCCAATATCTCTGGCATAATACCAAGAGACGTATCGTCTGAGCACAAGCAGCTTCAACGCTAAAAAGTATCATGGTTGTTCTCTCGAATAACCTGATGCTGCTAAAGCACCTCTTGCTATACTAGCAAGCTGGAGAAAACAATGTCAGGGAAGTAGTCAGAGAGATTTGCTAGATATTTTATCAACCTCTGACTCAAAGGATCACCACTTACTCTTTTTAAGGGTTGTCATAAATTTTTACGTTCACTAAACCATCATTAATCTCATTGATTCTTGAAGAGCTATTGGACGTTGCGTTATTTTGCCAACATATATTTTCGATGACTATTACACGTTAAGAGGCTATAGAAATTTAATCTTTTTTAAATTAATTTCATCATTTACTGACAGACGTCAAAAGCTGAGCATCTTGTCACAAATCTGGGACCACTGAATTAATCTCTCAACTCTATGCATTTAACCAGCAATCACCGATCCTCTATTAGGTCTGCGTTCGATAAACCAAATAGTAAAACTACAAATCAGAAACAAACTTAAGTAAACATGACAGTCAGTAATAGGCAAGCGTCACAAACCAATCCCGTCCTTGAATCACCAAAACAAATTAGCTCTGCGAAAAAAGAAGGTGCCTTAGACGCCAACATCTCCAGTTTTACACTAAAAGACGTTGAGGAATAGCAGTAAAACTAGCTCTAACACTTCCGAGTGTTACGGTCTTCTCTCCACCCATCTGGTGCTACAAAATCAGGCTAGAAAAGACCACCCTGATGTATTTGAGCAAACACGATTACTTTAAACTTTAGTCAATGGAAAGTTTAGCTCATTGGTCTTTTTTAGGCCATTTAACTTAGAACTATCTTACTAACTTGCTAAAAAATATGTTACAAGTAATGAAAGTTGGCAATAATTAGATAATATTAGGCTCCCAAAAGTTCTACAAATGCATAGAGTTACAAGATGGAGAATGAAAGAGAAAACTTCAAATGCTTTAAAAGTATACAATTTTATGCATCAAGAAAATAATACATAACATTAATTAAGATTACGTTTACAATTTACTTCTGATATACCACAGTACCTACCAAAGTCATACAAACATAAAAATTCTACTACTTCCGATCTGTTAGGATAATGATTATCAACAAGAAATTCATAAAATCTATCGGATAATTCTTCTAGAAAATTTTCAATTGCATGAAAAGGTTTTAATTTATGATTGCGATATCGATAGCGTTTCAAGTTAACGTTCACTATTTATCTACTAAATCACAAAGAGTAGGATGAAAAGAATGTACCAATTCGTTCGTTTTTTTCAAAGTTATCTAAATTCCATTACTATTTTCTCCCTAAATTAATAGTAAAGCTGCCATGTAGTTATTGATAAATTGTTTATTTTTAGAGCTTGGTTAATCACAAAATCTGCTTTTATTTCTTAATTTTTGTCTGTTGGTGACAAAAATCTATGCCTATCTTAAAATAACTTTATCAGTTATTGATCATGAAAATACAAGCCAAAGAACTTTTTGAAATGCAGTTTTTATTTTCTTTTAACTTTTTTCACTTGTTATTTTTTTGTCAATGTTGTATTTATATAATTTTTTTATTAACAATCTTGTACCGTTACCTAAGCCATCAGCTATACTCAAGTTTTGTATGATAAGAACCAGTTAAATTATTTAAATTAAGTTCATGCAGAGGTAATCTTTTACGATTACTGCTTAGCATTTTAATGAGAACACTTATACAAATATCACTATCAGATTTATCAACACCCTTGTACGTAGCATATTCTATGCTACTATATGTTTTTATTCTTGCTTTTAGATTATTTAGAATTTTATTAATCAAGTAGGAAGTACATTCGTGATAAGACGTAGGTATAACGTTGTTTACCAAAAAGTTAATATCCTCGCAAAAAATTTCAGAACGAATATCAGTTGTTTTCTAGTTATTTGTCTCGTGACTATTTTTTTTTCTTCAATTTCTAATAATTATTTTAATAATTGGTAAGTAAATAAGCGAATATTGATATTCAGTCTTAGAATACAAAGATATGACTAAAAATATGATGGTTGATAACTTTCCTGAATAATCATATTTCAATTTCTTTTTTTAAGAACTAGAGGAATTCGTCAAAAATCTTCTTCTTAAAAAATTAATAGTAACCATAATAAACATTTTTGTTACATACATAACGCCATGTTGTTTCAACTATTTCTAAGGTTTTTTTGTAAGATCCCAGAAGCCCTATCTAAAATAATTAAATTTTCTTCTCTCAATATTGTTGAAGACTTAAATTCCAAGAACAAACTTTTTTTTATGTGTAAGTCCCATAATTACCAAAATGTTATGTTACTTATCATTCCATTTATAAGTAACATTAGTGATATACCAGTCTGAATCATTATTAAAAAAAACGTGTTAATCAAATCAAATGTTGAAAATTATCGTTGAGTCTTTACTTAATTTTTCATTAACCGGATAAACTATTTTAGTAAATAAATAATTTGTGTTAGTCATCATTTTTTCTTATTATTTTTGTGGCTTAGATAAATAAAAATTTTTACGTTGTCTTCAAATTCCAAATATTTTACAATGCTTTAAAAAGTTAGAACAGTATGTAAAAATAGCTCACTATTTTGAGTAATTTAAATAAACAAGTTATAATCGATAAACATTGAAAAAAGTTATCCTTTGAATTTGAAGAAGTTATTAAATCCATACTGTTCTTTGTAACTTTTAAAAGCATACTAAAAAAATTACTGTTGACTTGTTAGTTTTATAATCGAGTTTTAACAAGTGTTACTAAGTTGGTACTACTTTTCTTAATGATATTTCTAATATTTCAATATACCTTAAATATTCATACAACATATATAGTTTTGTATAACATTAATTGTATAAATTTTTAATACAATATATACTTAAAATTGAGTAACTCAGAGATGGAAATTTTATTACAAATGCTTCTTTGTGAAAGAAAAATGTGCATATCTGTATAAGATTGTGAAAAAAAACATTTAATAATTAACAATAAATATAACAATTGCATAACAGCAGTGTGAAATTTTGCTCAGATAATAAAATTATGAAATTTTTATGATTATAAAATTTGCGTTTCAAAGAGCGGAAAAGGCTGTCCTAGTCTTTAACTTTGTAAAATTGATTATGTATTAGAAATTAAGATTTTCAAAATATAAGTCAAAATTTTAGTATGAATAAAAAATTTTGTAATGTTGGTATAACTGTTTTTTTTTAATGTAAGAATTAAAAAATACAGTGTCTTTATAAAAAAGTAATTAAAAAAAAAT